GTGGCCCCAGGCGTGGCGCCAGGCGTGGCGCCTTTGTTCCGTATCTGGGTTGTTCAGGATGCTGGCTTGTGCTATCAGAAAGGACCTGTCACCTTCAGTTATTTCACACCCATGGAACCACCACATTCTTCAGTTTCTGAAGGATGTCACTGGAAAATCCCTTCCCTAGGTATCTCCAAGGAGTGTGGGGCCTCGAGCAGAACATGATGACAAGCCCAGGACTCAGTGCCACCCTGCATTGGCATATCATGTTTGAAATTATGATTTTGGGTATGTGTTTGTGTGCACACTTACTTACCTATTTATTACTCCAGCTTTTCTCTCCAGGAGAGGGGGACTAGGGTTTATAAGGTAGAGGCTCTTGTCATGACCCTTGATTGTGAATTTTTGATTCCTACTGGGCAGGTCTCATAGCCTTTTTCTCCTCAGTTTACACAGTCGTGTTAACTTACATGGTAAAGTAGGTAGGTGTTGCTGCTGCTGCTAAGTCACTTCAGTTGTGTCCAACTCTTAGCGACCCCATGGACTGCAGCCTACCAGGCTCCTCCGTCATATTCCAGGCAAAAGTACTGGAGTGGGTTGCCATTGCCTTCTCTGAGGTAGGTGTAGGGCTTGCAATTAAACCTAGTAAACCATGTGGCAGAAACATTAAATTTTCTTATTATACCTAAGGGTTGCTAAGATCAAAGTGAACTCAATGAATGTTGAAAACATACCTAATTGGGACACCTTAGAAAAAGAGAAATGCTGGTTGTTTGGTTGATGTGGTATAGTTGAATGGGAAAAAGGCAAATGCCCATAAGCTAATCGGGTCCTGTTTTCCTTAGGGCGGGGTGAGGACAGGAAGTCCAGCTGTGCTGAGGGTTCTGGGTACAGGTTAGCGGTGCTACTCCCAAGTGTTGCCTGGGGGCTCGGACTCCACCCCACACTTTCTAACCAGAATCTGCATTTTAATGAGATCTCTCTGTGGTTCTTACACACATTAATACTGAAGAAGAGCTAGATCAGAAAACATGAGTTGGACCAGCATTTGAGACTCCTACACTTGCTGCCTCAGTGAGCAAACTCCCAGAGGAGTTTATCATGTGCCTGGAATAGACTCATCAACTATGTAGTGCTTCCTGGGGGCAAAGGCATGATGCTATTTTTAACAGTACCATTTTCTACTTTAAAAAAAATTTTTATTGGAGTACAATTTACAATGTTGTGTTACTTTCAGGTGTATAGCAAAGTGATCCAGTTATACATTACATATATTCATTCTTTTTCAGATTCTTTTCCATACAGGTTATTATAGAATATTGAGCAGAGTTCCCTGTGCTATCTACAGTAGGTCTTTCTTGTTCTTGTTGTTGTTCTGTAACTAAGTTGTGTCCAACACTTTGCGACTCCATGAACAGTAGGGGTCCTTGTTGGTTATCTATTTTATATATAGTACTGTGTATATGTTCATCTGGAAGTCCTAATTTATCCCTCCCTTCCACATTTCCCCTTTGGTGACCATAAGTTTGTTTTTTGAAATGGTAGTCTGTTTCTGTCTTGTAAGTAATTTGTATCATTTTTAAAATTAGATTCCATCTATGAGTGATATATTTACCTTTCTCTGACTTCACTAACTATGAAAATTTCTAGGTCCATCCATGTTGCTGCAAATGGTATATTTTGTTCTTTTTTAATAGCTGAATAATAATCCACTGTCACATGTACTACATCTTTATCCATTCTTCTGTTGGTGAACATTTAGACATTCTATGTCTTAGCTAGAATGCTGCAATGAACACTGAGGTGCATGTATCTTTTTGAATTATGGTTTTCTCCAGATACATGCCCATGGGTGGGATTGCTGGATCATATGGTAGTTATGTTTTTATTTTTTCAAGGAATAATTCAGGGCCTTTTGTGTTTCCATACAGATTAAAAACTTTTTGTTCTAGTTCTGTATAAAATGCCATTAGTAATTTGATAGGGATTGCATTGAATCTGCAGATTGCCTTGAGTAGTATACTCATTTTGAGCATTGATTGTTCCAATACAAGTACATGGTATATCTTTCCATTTGTGTTATCTTTCAGTACTTTTATCAGCGTCTTAAGAGTTTTCAGAGTAGAGGTTATTTGCCTCCTCAGGTAGGTTTATGCTTGGATATTTTATTTTTTTTTGATGTGATGGCAAATGGGATTGTTTCCTTAATTTCTCTTTCTTTCATTGTTAGTGTATAGGAATGCAAGAGATTCCTGTGTATTAATTTTGTATCCTGCAACTTTATCAGATTCATTGATGGGCCTAGTAGTTTTCTGTAGCGGCCTTAGGGTTTTCCGTGTATAGTATCCTATCATTGCAAACAATGAGGGCTCTACTTCGTTTCCAATTTGGAGTCCTTTTCTTTTTCTTCTCTGAGTGCCATGGCTATGCTGAATAAAAGTAGTGAGTGTAGACATCCTTGTCTCGTCCCTAACCTTAAGAGGAGACGCTTTCGGCTCATCACCGTCAAGAGTGATCTGTGAGTGTGCCACGTGCCTTCTCTGCTTCTGAGCTCACAGGACCTTGATTTGGCTTCCAAAATACATCCAATGATGAAACAAATGCAGAAATCTAGGTTCTGCCTCTGGAAAACAATGTAAAACCTAATCTGGTTGCCACCACGTCCTGTACAGTGGCTAGTCTTACGTAGCTCACCACTTAGCTTTGAGTTCTCTTGTGACAAAAGCAAAACAGAAAACACAATTGGCAGAAAGTCTATATAACTAGTAATTGTGTCCAGTACAGTTTTCTCAGCACAGGGTTTGATGGGCATTTCTTCAGTGGCTCATCATCTACATTTTCCTAAGAAGCACAGCAGTGTATTTCATGAGATCTTTTTCTTGCTCTCGTCACTTTGTCAATTTCCAGCTTGGCTTTTACAACCTTCTTTTTAATCAACCACTTGAACACCCCCACCCAGCACCACCTTACCTAGTCCATTCCTGACTTTGTTCCACTTAGACCCTCCTCTAAACTTTACCATGGAGTAACCATGGAGTCAGCAAAAGTAAGGTCAGGGTGGTTTGGTCCCTTGTCATATGGACTATGGGGATAGCAGGCCCCACCGCTGAGGTGCTGAGTGGCCAGTGAGAGGCAGGTGTCATCCATAACCAGTCCTGCTCCCCAGTTCATGCCAGCAGTACTGGAGGGATGTGGAAAATCAGGGCAGGACCATGTTTTCCATTGTTAAGTCTCTCAAAAGTATTTATGTGTTTTTCTCTTCTTGCTTGTTTGAGCTTGGTTTGCAGTATTTTTCAAACCTTCAGATCATCTTTAGCTTGGAACGCCCCTGTGCATCTTACTTAGTATAAACTAAAGTGTGATACTCCACATAATTTCTCTCCAAGATACAGGATCGTTTTTCTACCAAATTAAATTGAGAAATCTTAAAGTGTCAAGGCAAGTTGGAACATTCTCAGAGTACAGAGTAATCTCTCCATGTGTCTGGAAACCCAGAGGTGTGAGTCTAGAATGAAAAGTGGGGCCATCCTCCTCTCTTTCTGGCTGCCCGGCTTGGGATTCCCATGGGCCAACCTCTGCCACCCCCATGTCACTTGAGAGCATCAGGAAGAGTTAAGGCACCTGGGGCCTGGGCTGGTCTCCAGGACAGCACAGCGGGATCACACAAGCCCGGGTGCTGTGAGCGTCCTTACTGTCAGCTGCTCTTCCGATCTTGAAACACATCCTTTCACAGAAGATGAAGCTGTGAAGCTGTTTCACACTCACGAGCATGGTTTATTCAGGGGTGGCGCTTATTTCCATTCTGTCTTAGTGCTTAGGGTTCTTCCCCCTAAGGGTGGGGAAATTTTGAAGAAAAGCAGCAAAGTCATTCCTAGAACACAAGTTTATATAACCTCTTAACACTGTAATGCTTTTGAAAGTTCAAATCCTTAGGGGGTGGGGAGGGATAGACACGGCAGCACCTTCCTCCTAGAGTGGTTATGAGGGCTCAGTGAGCTCATTCACAAAGAGCACACAGGAAATGCTCAGTACATGCTAACAGTTCCGTGTGGTGTTACTTGTTCTCTGCCTCCCCTGTTCCTGCCAGAACAGGTCTTCAGACCCCCATCTGCAGCCCTGCAGTCCCAGAGCCCTCGCTCAGCTCTCAGGGATGGGCGTTGACACCTTCCTCGTTGAAACACACCATCATTTAACTGAGGATGCTCTGAATTGTAGTAATAAAAACCAGCATATACTGAGCCCTTATAGGGGAGACCATGCAGATAAAAGACATTTTATATAAGGATTTCATCTAATTTAATATTCAGTAAGCCCATAAGGAAGCATTTTCCTCTCTCATAAGTCAGAGAAGGGACTTGCCTAAGGGTCACCCAGCAGGTTAGTTTAGAACTTGTATTTCAAGTCACCTCTGACTCCAAAGCCTACACAGCGGCCTCTGCCAGGATCCCATTTCTTCCTCCAGCTGTGAGCTGGATTGGATCCACAGAGAGCAGGACCACGCTGTTGGCACAGTAACCAGTGGGACAAGGCGAAACTGCTGGAGAAGCAAGTTAGACTTCCCCCTCTCCCAAAAGCAGACTAAAATCTCAGTCCCTTGGGTAGCTACCAGCTTTACAATAAGGCAAGGAAATGACATAATTTTTCATTTGTAACATATCCCCGCCACCAGCACAAAGAAGGGGCATCTTTAGTGGCTGTATTCAGTGCTGGATATGGGGGTGAAAGGTTGGGTGGAGCTAAATTCTCCATAGTAAAGGCAAAGAGGAACCGAGACACCCCAAAGGAAGCTCCTAAGTATGGAAACACTGAGGCTACAGGGAGAAGCCTTAGGGAGGTTGTCAGCCTAGAGCTGGCACTAAGGGCCTGAGGGGGTTGCAGCCACTTGTAATAAATATTCAGTAAAGTAGCTCATTGATTCCTGGTAGCGTGGGTTTTCTTCCGCGTGAAGGAAGCACTGCATCATGTTCCATAGAGGCTGCCCTTGGATGTTGTTAATCCTACTGTTTCTGATTTCTCAGGCAACCTCAGAACCTGTTCTGGATCCACAGCAAATCCAAGCATTTGATCAGCTCTGCCATCTCTACCGAGGAAGTTCCAGGGTAATGTTCATGTGGTTATCTAAATTGTCATTTCCCTGTTTATAATTACTCTTTTGATAATGCAGTGTCCCAGGTCCTCACTCCAGCCTCCTCCTCAGTCTGTAAGGTGCCCTGCCATCCCTGTCATGGTGTGTGGAGCCCTGAGAACTTGGCAAAGGATGCAGAAATGGAAATATCTCTGTCCCTTACTTACCCTGGGCTGATGACACAGGAGGGCTTCTGTGTTTGTACTGCCTCCAGAGAAAGCAGGCATAAGCCCAGTCCCTCATCTGGGAGCCTTTTTACTGATTACTGTCAGATCTGCCCTAAGCCCCAGACTCTGCTGTACATCTGCATTGGTTGAATTTGTTTTGGCCATGAAAGATAAATGCCAAATTGTAGTGGCTTAACCAAGACAGAATTGCAAATGCAGGGATCCCAGGGCACATTCCATGAATCTTTCTCTAGATTTCTTCTACTTTGTGGGTCTATCATCTCTAATATATGGGTTATACTCACATGGTTCAGCATGGTTGCCCCAGCTCCAACCATCACATCTGCATTCCTGCTAGCAAGGTGGAAGAAAAGGAAGAAGTTCATACGCCCTCTATTTAAGGATAGTTCCTAGAAACTGTATACACCACTTCCACTTACCTTCTTTGTCCAGTACTTAGACACATGACCTAACTGCAGTGGAGACTAGGGAAACTGGTCTTGATTCCAAAAGCCCTGAAACTACTGAATCCTGTAACTGTAAAAGAAGAATACATGTTTAGAGGGCTACTGGCAGTCAAGCCACAACACCCTGTCTCTGTGTGGCATTTGTCTGTCATCCAGTCACCGCCGACACCCTGGGCTCATCCTTCCCACCCCACCCACTCCACAGGGCGATCTCCTATCTGTTTCTCCCCTTTTCTTCCAGCTCACAGAGGTCACTGCAGGTCTTCTGTCCCTTCTCTAGGGATTCTGCTGCTTGCAGGGCACCATCTCCAAGCCCCAAAGTCCTGTTACCCCCCTGGCTTATAACACGCTCCTGGCTCTCCAGCCCCTGCAGATGGAGTCAATCTCAGCCAGCTCCTCCTCGCCCCGAGTCACACCTAAATTCTAGTCAGGCCAGATTTCTTCCCCACGCTTTCCTTGAACTTGCACAGACTGTCTCTGGGCTCTTGTTTTTGTGCTGCGCTCCCTCTTCCCATTCCCCACACACCTGCTAGGTTGGTGGCAGCCCAGAGGAAAAACGGTGTTCCATCTCTGAGAGCTGGTCTGGACAGAGGCTTTTCTTCCAGGAGGTCCACTGACCTGGCCTCACCTCGCCCCTTCCCAAGCCCGGCTCTGCCCCGGGAGTGGGGTTTCTGGGCCTTTGATTCTCAGGAAGTTCTGCTTCAAACTATTGAGTCACTATTTGGGACCCATCAATTTACAGAACACTTAAGGTCAGAAGTGGAAAACAAAAAATATTTTTGTGATTGATTCTTTCACTTCAGTGTGTGAATGTGAAAGAACTTCGGGTTTATGTAGTAGTCCTTGCAGAGAATGCCATAGGCTGGTGGCAGCCCAGAGGGTTACAGAAGATGGGAAGTGGCGTAGGTGGGGCTTGTGCAGAGCACGGGACCCCCCTCTGTAACCTGCTCGACAGCAGTGGGAGTCCCTGCAGGGAGCCTGGTTCAGGACTCTGCCTTGGACCACAGCCTGCCTGAGCAGGGCCAGGCGCTGGAGTATTTTAGGTAAATCGGCACTGTGAACCAAGGCTCTTCAGATGTCTCCCCAGTTACCATAGCCACTGCAGTGAGTTTTCAACAGGACAGACACATGTAAGCCTCCTGCCACTATCACCTAGGTGAGGAAAGAACCCTTATCAGAGGTCGGATGGCAGTAAAAGACAAGACAACCTGGGGGAGGTGGGAATAGAGCAGGTGACAGACGTCATCCGCAGGGGAGGCAGAACCACAGGCAGCTCGGCCAGCCAAGCAGGGACCAAGGGACCGGAGCTTGAATCCCAGGCTACCACTCACCCCTGGGGTGACCCAGTTACTTCACTTCTCAGGGCTCTGGGTTTTTTACCCAGAAGGTGGTTGTGGAGGATCAGACACACTTCAGGTAAAAGACCTAGTGGCATGCTCCAGTAGCCTAGTGGGCACTGGGGGCGGTTACCTGGGGCTTGGGGAAGTCCTGGCACTGGGAGGCTTGCGCTGCTGTAGGAGACAGCTCGGTCCTCACAGCTGCTGTCTCTCCAGGTAAATTCCAGGTGTGGCACTCCACTCTCCTCTGACGTCAAGGGCATCTTGGGACTAGGTCATCAGGCTCTGTACCTAGTCTTCCCGGTGGGCTAGATCCACAGTCTGCCTTCCTTGGCAGGTCTCCCAGCACCGAGCCTGTAACAGGCAGAGGGTGTCACTGGTGAACACCGGGGAGCAGGGAGGGCACTTAGAAGAGAAGGTGGCATCCGTGAGTGTCCCTGGAGGCCCTGAGTTTGAAGTGGCAGCTGGGGTGTCCATCGGGAGCTATCTGGATCATGAAGGCAAGACAGAGCCAGAGATCACCACTCACTCTGAGGAAAGCCCACTAAGGAGAAAGGGAGTTTGAAGTGAGCCGGGCAACAGGGTCTTGTGCCGTCTGCAGAGGGTACACAGCGTAAGCGAGGCTCAAACGCTTTGCCATGTCAGAAAGTATCACAGTGTGACGTGCCTGTGAGACTGACCACGTCCAGCCTCCTCCTTGTTAAAGGAGAAAATTTAGGCCTTCCCAGAGGACGTGAACATGTGCAGAGTCACCAATGTTGTTAGCTAGATGCAGATGTGGGGTCCATGCCCGGTCTTACCTCCAGCCCCCACTGACTGTGTCCCCTCCTCTGCAGCTGGCCCTCCTCACAGAACTCTCCCAGAATCGCAGCAGTGAGAGCTGCAGGCCGTTTGGAGGCTCCCAGAGTGGCCCCGCCTTCAACAGCATCTTCCAGAAGGAGAACTTCCAGCTGCAGCTCATTCCTCCCCCCGTGACCGAGGACTGAAGTCTTTTCCCGGCCTGGAGCCCAGAGACAGGCCAGCAAGGGGAGGGGTCACCCGAGGACTCCACGCCCCCAGGCGCAGAGACTCTGGCCCTCCCGATGTTGTTGCAACCTGGGCACCAGACTGATTTTGTTTTGCTTATTAAGCAAATGAACACAATGTACCTCCATCCAGTTATTTAAGGATATGCGTTTTTGTCCGTTGGGACTCTTTCCCCCAAGAGTGGAGAAAAGGCAGACCGCTACATGGCCACCCCAGCCCGTTCTCCTGCTGGTGGTTAGTATGGGGTGCCGTTGCCTCTGCTGCCAGAGGGACAGTGGGCGCTGGGCTGCAGCATCAAGGAAACCTGCGCTGGAGGGAATGAAGGGCCTGCGGGGGCCGGGGCACCTCCCTTTCCTCATGTTTGCGTTGAAACCCATTTGAGTGTAACATCTGCCATTTGTAACAATAAATGCCTCCCGTTCATGCCCTGCAGGCCTACTGACTATCTCACTCTCCATCTACCAAATCTCAAAGGACATTCAGAACCTTTGTGGCCACAATTCAGTTCTGTTAGCCGAAAGTCAAGTGCCCTGACTGGAGCAGCCCTGCCTTTATTCCATAAGCAGCTGCGTCACAGGCTCCATCCAGACCACCAGACACCCAGGCACTCCTCGGCCAGGGCCCGGTCTGCCAGAGCAGGATTTTCACATTTCTTGGCCCAAGCACTTTGTACATCATTGAGCCAACCACCGCAGGAGAGCACAGCACACAGGCAGAGACTAGGCGTCCACCCGCAGACTCAGGGCCAGCCCGGCCCCCAGAGCCGGAGAGCACAGGCGGCAGCAGGCAAGTGCTCCAGTCCAGCTCCAGGCCCGACGCTCACAGCTCCTACCACCCTGGTAACCCTCCAGCCCTGCACTGCAGGTGCCAGGCATCATGCCGGGCCCTTTCTAATCCTCCAGAACCCCCAGGAAATCGCTGTAGAAACTACATAGAACTGCTCACAGAAATCCTGCTTCTGCCACATCCTGGCTGTGATCCTGAGCAAGTCAGTTCACCTCTCTCAGCTTCAGTTTCTTTATAAAATAAAGACTAAATGAACCCATGCCTGAGAACAAGAAGTGCAGCGCAGACCCGTGCCGCATTGCCCAGACGTGTGAGCTGTGGTCTTAGCACAGAACTCCCGCAAGGCGGTGGCACGGGGTCCGAGGAGGCCACACTGGGGGCGTGGAGCAGCAGTACAAGACCAGCAATCAGATGCACGAGGGTCTCAACCCCATCCTACGGACAAGAAAGCTGAGGCTTACACGTGGGGAAAATTTAACGAAGGCGACACACAAAAAGTGGCAGATGACAGATCTGAACTCAGAACTGATTCCAGAGCCAGTGATGTCACTCCACAAATTCTGTATCAGAGGGTTTCTTGATGAGTCTAAAATCAAAGCCAAAGGAGCTTGACAATCTCAAAGCAAAATGCAGCGCTTGCTGCCCTTCCTCAGTCTATACTCGAAGGAGCCAAGGCAGTTAGTTCACTGCACACCCGAGCCCCTGTTTACACCAGGACCAGTAAACACCATCACGGCTCTCCTCCAGCCCTTCCCTGAAACATCAGCCTCAAGAGTTCCTTGTCATTCGAGTCACACCACCACTGAACAAAGGCCAGCAGCTTTATACCCAGGTCATGCCTCCTGTCTCATCTGAGGGTAGATGAGAAACTAACCCCAGGGCTGGGCCCTGGGCCCTGCTGGCCTGAGCTGGGCTCAGTCCGTCCCCTCTCCTGGCACTGAGCACGTGTTCTAGTCTGCAGTGACGTCGGGCCCCACTTCAGAGCAGTTCCTCAGGGGAGACTCCTCTCGAGATACATACAGGCTCAGTCGGCAGCCGTGGTCCTGCGGATGGGGCCAGAGAAGCTCGCTGCAGGTGGCGGGGGCGGGGGGGGGGCCCTCCCAGGGGTGCGGAACAGCAGCCCCCAGCACGCGATCCGGCCCAGTCAGAGCCCCAGCTGCTCCTCCAGTCACGTGCCCGGAGAAGGATCTGGGGGAGGCAGGCTCCAGGCACCCATCAGCTACCATTTGGGGAGGGCACGTACCTGGGCTGAGCCGGCTCCTCCCATTTGCCCCAGGGGAAGGCAGGGGGTCCTCTGAAAGGAAATCGGGGTCCTGAGAGAAGAAAAGAGGGGTTCTGATTGGCCAAAATGCAGCAGTGTCCGTAACAGCCCATTTCTTCTTTGTACCTGGTAAACAGTGAGTATTTGAAAAGTCAGTCACTCAGTCGTGTCTGAATCTTTGTGACCCCATGGACTGTAGCCCATGAGGCTCCTCTGTCCATGGAATTCTCCAGGCAATAATACTGGAATGGGTTGCCATTTCCTTCTCCAGAGTATTTGAAAGGACCATCTGAAAATGGTTACTCAGCTCCCAGCTTCAGCAGAGTGCCCCCTCCCTCCTGCCGTGGTGGCAGGGGTGGCAGATGGAGTCTCACCCAATTCCCCACGGGAGGCAGAATGGACTGATGGAGACAGCCCTGGGATGCCGGTCAGGGGGTCCCCCACAGGCCTCTGAAAAGCAAAGATACATCTGCTCCCTCTGCAGCAAAGGTCCAGGTGATGTGTGGGAGATGCTTTGTAAAGGCAACATATTACCAACCACAGCCCACCATGCTGAGATGGGGAGGGAAGGTGTTTGTGGAAGAGGAAAGCCAACAGGGGCCTCATCAATGATGAATGCATCAGTGAATAAATAATGCAGAGCTTTGGGGATCCTTTTAGAAGCAGTATGTTTCCACTCGGCTTTCCCCACTGAAAATGTTTTTTCCAAAAGTGCATCTCCAGAATGAGATGCCTGTGACGCATGCACAGCCACAGGGAAGGCCTGGTGTGTTGTCCTCTGGGCAGTCCAGGGAGGACTCCATGACCTTGGGGAGTCTGCGGGGAGTCAGTCCCACTGGGCCCCAAGGGGCGGCTCTGATTCATCAGAGGGTTCGTCCAGTGGCCCCTCATCTCAGGCATTGGTGGCCATCATCCTGCCACCAGCCCCTCCACACACCAGTACTTTCTGAAGCCTTTCCCACTTCCCCAGGAAAGTGGCAGTTTGACTCATCTTGTTTCCCCACTTGGGTGTTGTCCTATCTGCCTCCATCGCTCCTGAGCGCACACGACTGTGTCTGGTCCACTCCTGCCATCTTTCATAGTCCAATGCTGAAAGCAGACTGGCTGCAACCATCTTTTAAGTCTCTTTTTAAGGTAAACTTTTTATGGACAGAAATGTTCCCAAACCACATGTACAAAGCTGGATTAATCCATGAAATACACACACCTGTATAACCAGCACCCAGATCAAGCAAACAGAAATGACCAGCGCCCAGATGTCCTCTGAATTCTGTTCATCACCCCCCACCCCAAAGCTAGCCACCACCATGCAATATAAAACCATACTTTTGCCTGTTTTGAACTTCATATAAATAAAGTATATTTACTCTTTTGGAAGTGGCTTTTTTTTTTTAACTCCCGTGAGTTAAAATGTCTGTGAGATTTATCCATGTTGTTCATTCTCATTGCAAAGGAGTGTCCCACTGTATGAATACACAATAACCTGTCCATTCTATTGTTAATGGATGATTGGGCTGTTTCCAGTACTGTCTTTCTTTTTGGTGGACATATGTATACATTTCTGTTGGATCTAAACTTAAGAGTGATTTTTCAGGGTCAGAGGGCAGGTATAATTAACAGATTTTTGAGCATATGTCTGCCTGTGTGAATAAACGAATATCTCCAGCTTCAGGAACAAAGCCAGTAGCCCCTGTTCCTGACGTCTGTTCCCTCAGAACTCTCTGCCACATCCATCTCAAAGGTCAGAATTTGGTGCCGATAATCTTGGAGGGCCAGATCCCAGCCCCTAGGAACCTGGAGGACCTCGTGGTTTGCCAGCCCAGCCTCTCTTCTGTACACGAATGAGTCAGTCCATCATTCTTCAATATTCCCCCAATCCACCTCCCACCTCCACCTGCAACAGTGACTTCCTGACTTCAACTTCCTCCCTCCCTCCTCCCTGCCTCCTCCCCACCACCGACCTTGCTCCCTTTCTGAGGCCTCTGTCCTCTATCAGGCTGACTGGGGCCCATGTGCTGTCCTGTTTGATTCAGTAAACACTGCAGCACTAGGAATTCGCTGCCTGCCTGTGACTCTTGAGATAGGTGGGGTGAGGCTAAATCCCCTGGGGAAGAACTGACCTCTCCAGGACCCCCAGAGGATTCTAGTTGGACCCCCTGATCGTGTGCTGATCTCCTGGCGACCTACAGAGATGCCCACTCAAGGCCCCATCCATGTTCACTGGGGCCTTTGTTCCTTGGCAAACTCCAATCCTTCCCACATTCAGTGCAGCTCCTACATCAAGCTACAGTCACCCAATAGTCTATAGATTCTCAGCAAAACCAGGCTCTGAAGATCCCTATGAATCCCACGTGGCCTCAGGAAGCCCACCCTCTAGACGTACCACAGAATCCCAGCCCTGGGTCCTCCAGTGGTTCCAGACCTCACCGCATGGCCTCTGAGAGCACCGCGTGGTTACACCTGTGGTTCTTCCAAGGTCTCCTGCTGGAACATGGTGTACCTACATTTGCTTGATGAATTTTGGCATTAGTTCACACATGCAGACTCTAAACACAGGGGCAGAAACCCTCAGTCTACTACACGGGGCTCTTCCTTGTTCACGGCTGGGTCATCAGAGTCAGGGGCCACAGTCCCCTGCAGTCGGCTGCCCCCCCGGAGGCAAGCCCGACGTAGGTGAGGGCTGATGCTTACCACAGGAAGCAACTGGTATCCAAGGCCCCACTTCAGTGAGGCTGGGAGCAAAAGGAGGTAGAAGCCACTAATACCTAAAGTGCTAGGTTAAAATAATTTTTTTTCTAGGTTTACCTTTACATGTACTCTTGGCTTGGCTTTGAAGTGAAGTGAAGTCACTCAGTCATGTCCAGCTCTTTACGACCCCATGGACTGTAGGCTACCAGGCTACTCAGTCCGTGGGATTTTCCAGGCAAGAGTACTGGAGTGGGTTGCCATCTCCTTCTCCAGAGGATCTTCCCGACCCAGGGATTGAACCCAGGTCTCCCACAGTGTAGGCAGAGGCTTTACTGTCTGAGCTACCAGGGAAGTTGTGAAGTGCTAAGATCTGAGGCCAATTCCCAGGAGGGTTCTTAGATCCAGGGTGGGCCACTCCTTAGCCTGAAGCAGTGTCTGGGTCTGGCCAAATCCAGGATGAGGTCAAGCCAGGCTGGGCAGAAATCTAGAGCAGTAGACAAGGGTGCATGAGGTGATGCCCAGAGGCTGGGCTGTGGCTCCTGGATGCCCCTGCCTAGAGCCAGGGCTGGGGGGTGCTGGGGTAGGCTAGGTCTGGGGAGGAGAGAGGCGGGTAAGGGAGAGCAGCAGGAAAGGGCAGGCGTGACTGCAGGGCCTTAACCAGTGAGGGCTAACACCAGCTGGATTTGGATGTTTGGACCAAGCTCTGGACCTGCTACCTACCTGCAAATTATGAGCGACTCACCTGCCTTTACTGTCAGCTTAGCTCTGGGATGCTTCAGCCATGAACTCGTGAAGTTATCCTGTCCCACCTGGCACAGACAGTAACTGGGTTTGGCAGGTGAGATGGTGTCTGTGGAAGGGCCTTGCTAAATTCCCCTTCAGGTGCTATGTGGCTTCGAGGATCCACGCTGCTGCACTTTCTGCCATCATCCTGCAGTGACGGTCCAGATCTTCTGGGCATGAATCCTCTGGGATGCACGCACACTAGGTGATGGCTCGTCATCAGAGAGGACTGAAATGTCCCACCAGAGACCTGATCTGCCATCTCCAAATCCACACACACAGTTTCGGGCTGGGAACTGAGGACGACAATGAGAAACAAATCCCCTCTCCAACCCACTGGCTCAAAACTCTTCCAGTCGTGGGTGGAGGCCTGACTGGGGTCCGTCTCTGGGGAGGCCAGGTGGTTCCAGGACACACAGTCCACAGCCCAGCCTTCAGCAGCCCCTCCTCCAGCAGGGGAGCAGGTGGGAAGCTGCCCGGACTCGGGGGATCCCCACTCCCTCCCTCAAACCTCCAGCAATGTCAGGCTCCACCTGCACTGCCTGTCCTGGGACTCGGTATCTTCCAGCTTACAGGGTTTATTTCTGAGTGTATAAGTAATCATCAACTCGTTCTTTGAAAACTAGGAAAATTCCAAAACACAAACAGAAAAACACCATGAATATGCAGGCATATACTCTTATCTGCCTGGTTTCTGAAGAATTCTGACTTCTAATTGCTTCTCTTTGACCCTCACATCCCAGCAAGCCTGAGTCCTAAGGTCCCATCTTACCCCTTCATTCAGCACAGAATCGGAGTGGGACCCCAGGGGTTAAAGGCATTACCAGTTCCCAGTGACTGAAATGTAATGAGGACGAGATGCTAAATTAAAGTTTATTGCAGAATAAAAGTGTGTGTAGTCAGCATCTGTAAGATGCTACAATGAGATGCTTTCTAGAACTTGGCAATACAATTATGTAGAGAGTTAAATTAGTAGAATGCACACACAGTTGATGAGATTAGCTGTCTACAAAAGTCACTTTAAAAGATAAGTTATCTTTTGTGAAGGGAGGAAGAGCTAGCCTAGATTCCTGATTAAACACAGAGGCAGCAATGGCCAAATCCAAGCACTGAGATGCCTACAGAAAGATGGCATGTGTGTGTTTGTGCATGGGTGTGTGTGTGTGCTGGGGTGGGGGGGCTCCATGTGGAGCACAGGACAGCGGGAGGGAGGGAGAAGCCTGGCAGCGTCTGGATGAGGAAGGGGAAGGTGTCCGCTGGGTCAGGGACAGAAAGGGGACCCTGTGCCCTGTGGCTCACCCACTGTCTGCCTCCTGGCTCAGCCCCCGAGGTCCTGAGAGTGGGAAGGGCTACAGGAGGAGGCAAAGGGCCCAGCACACAGGCTCCACGGCCAAGGTGACTGGATTCAAACTCCAAGTCCCACTTACTTGCAGGCTGAGCCACTTTGGGCAAATGTTTACTTCCTGAGGCCTTTTCCTGGTATGAGATAAGGATGCTGCAATCTCTCCTGGAGGGCTGCTGTGGGGATAACTCAGGAAGCAGGAAGGCAGCTGTATCATTATTACTATGAACAATGGTATTACTTTTATTACTGATGAACAAATTTATTTAGCACTGCTCATGAGGTTACTCAATAAAAGCCAACCCCAAAGCTGCTCTGCTCTTGGTAATTCAAGCTCTTCGACCTGCCACCCTGAGTCTTGGTGACCAAGTGACCGGGCCCCGAGGCTCAGCAGGGCAGTGGCCGCCCTGGCTGCCAGCCTGCAGTCAGAGCCACCGTACATGGGATGTGTGAGCTGAATACAGAGTGCAGTTCTGTTTGTTAGGGAACGTAATTTTTATTTGTATAAACCTCATGCAGCCAACAAAACAGTTACTTAAAGGGTTCTGGGAGTTATCAAGTGGTGACTATGAGTGTATAGGGTACGTAATAATAACTATCTGCAGTAAGTTTCTGTAAAATTTAAATGGAATAATGATGTAAACAACTTACTTCCTAGCACAAAGTAAGCACTGATATAAACATTTCACATTTTGCAAATGAGGTTTTTTTGTTTTTCATTTAGCTCACATTGTATTACTATTTAGACAGAACCTCTCCAAAGGCAGGGGTGGGGTGGGGTGGGGAGGAAGAATATTCCAAAATTCAAAATAGCGTATTTGTGCTAGTATAAAAGAAAAAGATCACGTTTATTTTACAAGGTAGTATTCTCCTAAAGTATTATACAGAGAGGAAAGTTGAGCTGTTTGTAGGAAAACAATGTAATTCTAGGAAATTAGAGAAGAATCAACATTGTGCTTAAAACTTGAAAACAGACAGGTTTTAAAAATCACACAGTAAGTAAATATTACAAGGTACAAACATCCTTAGAAGTACATATGAACACCATGATACGGAAGCTCAGCATTAAAACCGCTAGTGATGACTTGCCTTTAGACTTGTCCAGCCTATGAAGAGGGCACTTCAATCTGAACAGAAAGAACCCAAAGCTCGACCAGAGACGCAGCTCTTTCCCAGCACAGCCAACTCTCAGTTATCCACGATAGTGAAAGGGAGCAGTGACACAGAGGTCTTCTAAAGGTGAATTGTTCCCCAGTTGGTTCTGAGTGCCCTTGTACTCGTGGTTGAATGTGAGAAACACTGACAGCCCTGACCAAGAGCACAGCACACCCACTGCCTTCTCCCTCCTCAACGGGAAGAGACACAAGCACACAAAAGCCCGAAACACAGTGGTGGTTACTGTGCCGACTCCTCTGGAGTGGGGGGTAGGGGAGAAAACCCAAGAACGCTTCGTTTTCCTCGTGTAAAAGTCCAAAATATGTCAACAAAATTTTGCAAATAAGATGGAATAATAAAAGTGCTGACAGTATAAATATTTTTTTAATTGTGCTATTTCCCCCCTTGCCTAAAAGTATTTATACCACCAAAAGTATCTGGATATTTTGACAGCTTTCTAAATTACCTGGTTGCATCCTACTGCCTAAGTAGAGATATCTGCATAAAAGGAGGTTATGATCAAAGGAACTACGATGGTTCAAACAAGCCAGGAAGCAGAGATTAAGAAATAAAACCACCACTCTCAAGATAAAATCAAATCCTACTTCAAATCCAAAAAAGTACTTCAGGGAAACAACTTTATGGTTTTGTTCTGGTTCTGCTGATTGTATTTGTACTATATTACTTTGAACTACAGGTCAACCCCTTCCAGGAATGCGGCAGTTTTTCTACAGAGGTTTTTCTCAGATTTGCATTTCAAATCTTGAATATACCTAGATTTTTTATTGTAAAGCTTCCATTGTTAATGTACCAAATAGTTATAACCACAAAAACATTTTAATTGCTTTGTTATTTCTCAGAAAAGTCATGAACACATGTGAAACTTGAAAATGCTAAAAGAAATCTTGGTTAGATCAGAAAGCTAAACTCCACACAGTACTTATTTCGTATCTTCTACCTAATAGCTTTTACACCAACTTTCAAAAAGTGGGAATGGTGTCAGCTTTTGACAAAAGCCTGAGATAGCAGTTTTTCCATTCACACAGCCCAACTCTTTGCCCCAAGTGAGCAAACGTCCAAGTGATAAAGCTTTCATATCTCTCAGTGTACAAGTATTAATCAAAAGCCTATTTAACATAACTGTGCTCAATGTCTATAATACACACTGCAGTCTAAACATTTTCTAAAGTGCCTATAAATATGCTTATACAAATGCGTAATGTAGTATCAGAATTACAGAGAAATTCTTTCATATAATATAGAACAGAATAGGCCTAGAATTTAAGTTGAAACTATATATTTTTATACCCTTATCAGTTGTTTTTGGAATGCAAGCATAAAGAAACAATTCTGATTCAATCATATATGATTTTCAAATAATTATTAACAGTGATAGGACAAAAAAATTCTTGCTTGTGCTTATTTAGAAAAGGCTATTTTGAGATCCAGGAGCATTTGATATTTAGAATCCAATGGGATGTCTCCAATTCTATAAAATTGATAGTAGTAAGTGAATCTTAGTGAGTTTTTAATTATAAAGAGTTTATTAAGAGTATTTAAAGTGATTATCAACTAGTGTTAAATCCAAAAATTCCATTAAAATCCTGGCTAATCTGAATGGCAGTTCAGGAGTTTTTAAAAACAGGAACCTAGGCAAAAGTCATAGATATTACTAAGAAGGGCCCTACCCTGGCACAGCCAGCCTCAGAAGCGTGGCCCTGAGCCCATGGATTCCCATGGCTTTGGAGACCTGGTGGTTGACCCCAACTATCAACACATTAACAGATGGAGGAGAGAACTGATAGGAACAGTACAAAGAAAGCTTCGTATTCCTGTCCAGGGATGAAATGAGCTCACCCACGGCTAGGTGCAGACAGGACCCTGGCTGCAGCTGGCCAGTCAGTCCGGGCAGCACTGAGAGAGCCCAGAGCAGGGCTCATCAGCTCTTTGTCCCTAAGCCTTTCTCCCCACACCTGCCTCTGTTGCCCTCTCCTGGGCCCCGCTGGCCCTGGACCTCTGGACAGCACCTTCTCAGGTTGATGTGTTGAGTCTTTATGTTTCAGTAAGTGGAAACTTTATGCTGGCTGCATTCTCACCTACCACACAAAGTGTTAAGTAACACTGCTTTCAAAGAAATACGCGCACTCTGCTTCCTAAACCCTAAGGATGTTTAGGGCACCTGAACCTAACAAAATGTTCTAGCCAGTCACGTGAACTGCACATACAACTAGGAAAGCAGGTTCTGCCTGGAGAGATTTGTGCAGGATGCCAAGTGGAGGCTTCAAGAAAGGACACAACAGGCCTCTTCTTGTTTCTTAAAATATGAACTAGCATGACACAGAAGAGTCGCATCGTAATGCCAACAGAGCACACGATGAAGCCATGAGAGCACGCTCGTGGCGAGCCAGGGTACAAGGAGTGATTCTCTGTCTCCAACTTGGGTAGTTTAGTTTCGTGTGGCCGTATTTCAAACTTCCTGGATTCTTAACAATGCCTCACAGACAGTACATCTGGAGAAATGGCAGATAACCAACTCACACAAGAACACCTGTTATAAGTGGAGATTAGGAGCAAAATTCTGAAGAGAGCTAAATAAGAAAGAATCAGTCACTATTTTATGTGTGTAAGAAAAGAGAACATTTACAACAGTCCATGAATATTACTGTAGTAAAGGAAATGAATGTTACACAAAATATTTTTTCCTGACTTAGCAGCGAACTATTTCAACTGTTTTTGCATTGGCATAAAAAATCCATGCATCATACTGAATTCTAATCCATTTCTCACCTAAGCCATTCTAATGCTTCATACAACCAAATGAAGCAGAGTTAATCAAACCTATTAGATTCATTCCTAATCCCTAAAGGACTGCTGTCTTTAGCATTTCCATGCTAACTAAAACTATTGATTTTTTTCCTTAAGACATCAGATGTGGCTGCCTCCTAAATATAATACCTATATGACTTCCTAAAAGTTTCCCGCAGATTTGAACAATTTTAAAAAGCAGGGAAATGTTGAGGAAGCCACCCCTGAGGCCAGCTCAAATGCTACTCCTTCAGCTAGCCCAAGCCAAGTGCATCTCTGCCTCCCCCGGGTTCCCAGGGCACTCTAGGTCCCCTCACCTGCATGGATTACCTCCCCAAGTGGACTATGGTCCCTTCCTGCTGGGAGTCAGGCCTTATTCATTCTGTATCCACACAGCACCCTGGAGTGGGGACAGGCATTCAACCTAAGCTGGACTGAGCATGAAACAGATGATGTCATCTCTTCTGGAGCGAGGTCTAGCCCAGCGCCAGGTCATGGAGGGCTGGTGGTGCAGACACTGCCTTAACTGGGGGCTGAGCTGGCCTCCAGGAAGCTGTGGCAACACTGACCCAGAGCCAGGGCAAGTGGTAGGAAGAAGAGGGAAGGACAGAATGGCCTGTGCCAGAGCACAGCCTGAACAGGTCACGTGAACCAATTCTCCACCCGGGACTAGCAGGGGAGCGGTGCTCATCAGCATGCCAAAAGGGCTGCCAGAGAGTTGTTCTGCGAAGAACTGGCTATTTTTAGAACAGTGTCTCCTTTACTCTGGGTATCTCCTCAACCTGATCCATGACGCTCTGTGATCATCGCTTCATCGCTTTCAAAGTTCCCAGTGAAATTAAGGCTGGGTCACAATTCATGACACCAGATGCTACACAGAAAGGAAGTGAAGATACAAAAGAAAATCATTTATAACAAAAGAATGTCTTAGTTATAAGACGAATTTAAAAGTAAAGCTAAATCAGCAGACCACTGAACTGCTATGGTTGTTATAGAGGGGTAGAAAACACTGCACTGGAAAAAGGATCCATCAGACAAAAGTACAAAAGCTCAGCATGGATCAGAGGACGTGGCTTCCTGCCTGGACCCTCACACGGTGGTTTCTATTGTTTCAATCACTTCCAGATCAGACTGTGAGGGGGAAAGAAGGGTGCACTCATCTGGCTCCCAGCTGCTCTCTGGACTGTAATCTTCCTCTGAACTCAGTTCTGCTCCTTCTTCCGTGTCCTCATCACACGATTCCACATAGTGAGCCCCGATCGCGTTGATCCCAGAGTCCTCGGAACTTGAGGGAGAAGAGCAGTGATCTATTTTTGGTGTGTTGCTCTCTTTTGAAATAAAGGCATCATGTGCAGAGACCTCCTCGGGGCTCATTTTGTGGGAATGTGGTGCCGGCTGCTTCTGCACGTAACACATCTTCCCATTAATACATTTAACCTGATAGTTGTCAATAAAGAGGTCTGAGATCATACAGTACCTTGGCGAGTCAGGGGGGAGAGGGGGCTGGAAAACAGATGCGAATTTCAGAAAGTGTTCAGTGAGGGAGACTGAAATCTGAATGGTGTTGGCAGGCTCCCAAGGCTTTGAAGGAATCTCAGTGCTGGGAAGCTGTTCCACAGGGGTCATCGGCTGATACACGTACTTGCCTATGGGGGACACAAAAAGGCAGCTGAAATCTAAGGGTGCTACACATGCTAGGGTAAGGTAGCCATAATGGTTTCTGAGGACTCAGAATGTTTTTAAAAATATTTCAAAACCATCCCCAAAGAAACTAAAGATAGAATCAACATGGTTATAATCAATCAAAAATTCAGCATGGTACATAAACATCATGGTGTTTCCATCTAAAAACTCAACACACTTTACAAATCTTAATTTTATATTTAAGTCTCTGGAGTAGGTGGTGGATACTATCATCCTTATTTTACAGGCATCTTGAAATGATTTACCCATCATACCAGAATAAAGAACATTTACAATATAATATGGTAAAAACACACTGTAAAATAGTATTGTTGTTGTTATTCAGTCATGTTCAACTCTTTGCGACCCCATGGACTGCAGCATGCCAGGCTTCCCTGTCCTTAACCACCCCCTGGAGTTTGCTCAAACTCATGTCCATTGAGTCAGTGATGCCATCCAACCATCTCATCCTCTGTCGTCCCCTTCTCCTCCTGCCCTCAATCTTTCCTGACATCAGGGTCTTTTCTAATGAGTCAGCTCTTTGCATCAGGTGGCCAAAGTACTAGAGTTTCAGCTTCAGCATCAGTCTTATTTTATGGTGTAAAATAGTATAATACACCATAAAATTGTAATTGCATTTTATCTTTAGTGATTAGGTGCTAATATAGAAACTTAAATGGGCTTCCCCGGTGGCTCACCAGTCAAGAATCCACCTGCCAATGCAGAAGACTCCAGTTTGATCCCTGGATAGGGAAGACAGATGCCCTGGAGAAGGAAATGGCAACCCACTCCATTATTCTTGCATGGGAAATCTCATGGACAGAGGAGTCTGGTGGGCTTCAGTCCAAGGGGTCATAAAAAGTTAAACAGAACTTAGCAAGTAAGCAACAATACACATTTAAAATTTATTAGCAGGATTATGGAAGCCTTTCATTCTTCAGGTTTCTAAATGTAAATCAGAATACATACACACACATATTTAATAGATAACAGCCTATAGGATTGTCCTGGTCACCCTCAGTGGCTGGGGTAAGGTACAGAGTATGAAACGATCTCTTTTAAAATGCAAAGCTCATCAGTGACCTAAACAGGAGATATTCTCCCTAATGCCAGCTTCACAGGCACAACCTCAGCCAAGCAGAAGTAAAGGCACAGGCAGATGCAAAGAGTGACCTGCAAAAAATCAAGAAGCTTAGCCCCAAACCTTCCCTTTGCTCTGAACCCTTGAGTGTTTCTCACAGAATTTATGTGGAAGTGAAACCTAACTGGATCTGTTCCTACTGTCTCTTTCCTCATTTTCTTCACTCAACCGTTAACAAAGCCATCTCTGTATAAAGTGTTAAGAAAATAGAGATGACAATTACCTAGTCTGTAAGCCTAACCAAAATGATCACATGGATGACAGCTTTGTTTAACTTAATGAAACTATGAGTCATGCCATGTAGGACCACCCAGAACAGACGGGTCACGGTGGAGAGTTCTGAGAAAATGTGGCTCACTGGACAAGGGCAAACCACTTCAGCATTCTTGCCTTGAGAACTCCATGAACAGTATGAAAAGACAAAATGATATGACACTGAAAGACGAACCCTCCAGATCAGCTGGTGTAGTATGCTACTGGAGAAGAGTGGAGAAATAGCTCCAGAAGGAATGAAGAGGCTGAGCCAAAGAAGAAACAATGACAGTCTTGGATGTGTTCGGTGGTGAAAGTAAAGTCAGAGGATGTAAAGAACAATACTGCGCTGAAATCTGGAATGTCAGATCCATAAATCAAGTAAATTGGAAGTGGTCAGAGGGGAGATGGCAACAGTGAATACTGACACTATAGGATTCAGTGAACTAAAATAGACAGAAATGGGAGAATTTAATTCAGATGACCATTGTATCTACTCCCCTGGAGAAGGAAATGGTAACCCACTCCAATATGCTTGCCTGGAAAATCCCATGAACAGAGGAGCCTGGTGGGCTACATACAGTCCAGGGGGTCGAAAAAGAATCAGACATGACTTAGCGACTAAACAATTGTATCTACGAGTGGGCAAGAATCACTTAGAAGAAATGGAGCAGCCCTCATAGTTAAAAGAGAGTCTAAAATGCAGTACTTTGGTGCCATCTCAAAAATGACAGAATGATCTAAGTTTCCAAGACAAACCATTCAATATTACAGTAATCCTAGTCTATGCCCTGAACACTAATGCTGAACAAGCTTAAGTTGAACACTACTATGAAGACCGATAAGACTTTCTAGAACTATCACCCAAAAAAATGTCAAATTCATCACAGGGAACTGGAATGCAAAACTAGGAAGTTAAGAGATACCTGGAGTAAATGCAAGTTTGGCTTTGGAATACAAAATGAGTCAGGGCAAAAACTAACAGTTTTGCCAAGAGAATGCACTGGTCTTAGCAAACGCCCTCTTCCAACAACACAAGAGATGGATTCTACACATAGACATCACCAGATGGTCATACCGAAATCAGATTGATATTCTTTGCAGCTGAAGGTGGAGAAGCTGTATACAGTGAGTAAAAACAAAACCTGGAGCTGACTGTGGCTCAGATCATGAACTCCTTATTCAGACAACTTGAAGAAAGTAGGGAAAACCACTAGGCCATTCATGCATAGCCAGTCCCTCCCATCAGCAAGCTTCCACAAGCTTCTTATCCTTATCCATCACAGGGCAGAAGGATTTTTAACTTACATGCAGATTACATCATGCGAAATGCCACGCTGGATGAAGCACAAGCTGGGATCAAGATTACCTGGAGAAATATCAATAACCTCAGATATGCAGATGACACCACCCTAATGCCAGAAAGCGAAGAGGAACTAAAGACTCTCTTGATGAAAGTAAAAGAGGAGAGTGAAAAAGCTGGCTTAAACTCAACATTCAAAAAACTAAGATCATGGCATCCGGTCCCATCACATCATGGTAAATATGGGGAAGGAAACAATGGAAACAGTGACAGATTTTATTTTCTTGGGCTCCAAAATAACTGCAGATGGTGACTGTAGTCATAAAATTAAGACACTTGCTCCTTGGAAGAAAAGTTATGACCAACCTAGACAACATACTAAAAAGCAGAGATATTACTTTCCTGACAAAGGTCTGTCTAGTCAAAGCTATGGTTTTTCAAGAAGTCAAGTATAGATGTGAGAATGGGACCATAAAGAAAGCTGAGTGCCAAAGAACTGATGCTTTTGAACTGTGGTATTGGAGAAGACTCTTGAGGGTCCCTTGGACTGCAAGGAGATCAAACCACTCAATCCTAAGGAAATTAGTCCTGAATATTCACTGGAAGGACTGATGCTGAAGCTGAAGCTCCAATACTTTGGCCACCTGATACAAAGAACTGACTTGTTAGAAAAGACCCAGATGGTGGGAAAGAGTGAAGGCAGGGGAGAAGGGGACGACAGGATCAGATGGTTGGATGGCATCATTGACTCGATGGACATGAGTTTGAGCCAGCTCTGGGAGTTGGTGATGGACCGGGAAGCCTGGCATGCTGCAGTCCATGAGGTAGCAAAGAGTCGGACAGGACTGAGTGAATGAACTAACTGATTAAGGTATGACCTAAATCTAATCCCTTATGATTATACAGTGGGAGTGATAAATAGATTCAAGGGATTAGATCTGATAGAGTGCCTGAAGAACTATGGACAGAAGTTTGTAACACCGTACAGGAGGTGGTGATCAAAACCATCCCCAAGAAAAAGAAATGTAAAAAGGCAAAATGGTTGTCTGATGAGGCCTTACAAATAACTGAGAAAAGAAGAGAAGCTAAAGGCAAAAGGAGAAAAGGAAAGATATACCCATCAGAATGCAGAGTTCCAAGAATAGCAAGGAAGAGATAAGAAAGCCTTCCTAAATGAACAATGCAAAGAAATAGAGGAAAACAATAGAATGGAAAAGACTAGAGATCTCTTCAAGAAACTCTGAGATACCAAGGGAACATTTCATGCAAAGACGGGCACAATAAAGGACAGAAATGGTATAGACCTAACAGAAGCAGAAGAGATTAAGAGGTGGGAAGAACACACAGAAAAACTGTACAAAAAAGATCTTAATGATCCAGATAATCACAATGGTCTGGTCAATCACCTAGAGCCAGACATCCTGTAGTGTGAAATCAAGTAGGCCTTAGGAAGCATTACAACAAACAAAGCTAGTGGAGGTGATGGAATTCTAGTCGAGCTATTTCAAATCCTAAAAGGTGATGCAGTGAAATTGCTGCGTTCAATATGCCAGCAAACTGGGAATTCAGCAGTGGCCACAGGATTGGAAAAGGTCAGTTTTCATTCCAATCTCAAAAAAGGGCAATGCCAAAGAATGTTCAAATTACTGCACAATTGCACTCATTTCACATGCCTGCAAGATAATGCTCAAAATTTTTCAAGCTAGGCTTCAACAATACATGAACCAAGCACTTCCAGATATACAAGCTAGATTTAGAAGAGGCAGAAGAACCAGAGATCAAATTGCCAACATCCACTGGATCGTAGGAAAAGCAAGAGAATTCTAGAAAAACATCTACTTCTGCTTCAATGACTACGCTAAAGTCTTGGTCTGTGTGTATAACAACAAACTCTGGACAATTCTTAAAGAGATGGGAATCCTAGACCACTTCACCTGCCTCCTGAGAAACCTGTATGTAGATCAAGAGTAACAGTTAGAACTGGACATGGAACAATGAACTGGTTCAAAATTGGTAAAGGAGTTTGTCGAGGCTGTATATTGTCACCTGCTTATATAACTTATATGCAAAGCACATCATGTGAAATACCAGGCTGGATGAAGCTCAAGCTGGAATCAAAAGACTGCCAGGAGAAAAAACAATCTCAGATATGCACATGACACCACCCTAATGGCAGAAAGAAAAGAGGAACTAAAGAGCCCCTTGATGAAGCTGAAATAGCAGAGTGAAAAATCTGACTTAAAACTCAACATTCAAAAGACTAAGAT